CACATATTTTGGATGTTTCACTATCATACCCTAAACTGATTACTACCTTGTAGAATCAAGACTTTACTTTAAAAGAACCTGTCTGACGACATAAAGTAGGCTAAAAAATCGGAAACAAATCATTATAGAAAAGTTTACAATGAAGTTTCTGGGTTTTGTGATCCCAGAGAATGGCAGTGAGAGTCACTACATTATTTTTGCATGAAACAGTGATGAAACAACCAATGATATCTAGGGAGGAAGAGACCAACAACTTATTTAAGAGGACATAAACCAAGCATATATACCATCTGCAGCTCTGTAGGCCCTTTCCATAGTTAAAGGTATAGTGGAGGATTTTTAAATTTCTAAAAAGACCCATCCTCTCCAATAAAAAAAATGCACACACACAACCCTGTACCTGCTCAGGAGAGGGAACATCTATTAAGTCTGATTTATATTCAGAAACCAGGTCGTCTGCGTGTGTGTCGCAGTGAACACAAATCTGCCCCTGCCGCAGACACTCTGCTGCAAACTCTCCAAAATTGTAGCTGACCGCAGATAGTGCCGCAGACAGGAGGCATCTGATTGGTCAAATCTACATCCACTCTACACTATGCGTGTTTCCTGTTTGGTACCTTCCAGTTTGTTCTGTTTGTATGAACGCCATTGTGGAAAACGACTCGTGAAGTTGGACCAGCTAGAAGAGCGAGGTGTGAGAGAACGCTGGGATCCTTTTTCCACCTGGATCCCCGCTTTTTTTCGCCCTCATCTCCCTTTGTTGTCGCACAAACTTGCCCCACTTCCTCACCGCCTCGGCCGTATCTAGACCCACAGCTAGTTCTTGATTGTCCCTCGTGTTGTGGCGTGGAATAACATAGCACAGACCATGCTATAATACTGGGCATAAATCAAAAATATCTGCGACAAGCTCACTGCGACACACTGCTGCAGGGAGTATAACCAGCCCTTTAGAGAGCTCTGTTCCTGTGCATTTGGATTGTCCTTGATCCACAACAGTGATGTTACAAACATTTGTATGATGTAATGATGTGATGCGTCAGGCTGTATGTATAAAATGCTTCTTTAACTATTATTCTTTTTTGAAGAACTGAGCCAAGCGCCGTCATCTGTCATCCAAGCCATTTCTCTGGTCTATGATTACCTTTTCTGTCAGAATCTGCTGTCATGTCTCACAGTAATTTAATAAATAATCCTTATAAAGTGTTATTTAAAGTGTTTGTTCTGAGTGATCTCTTCTCAGAAAAGAATCAGGGAGAGAAAGCTTAAAGATGTAAACATAGAGCTCTATGTCGGCATCAACTGACACATACGTACTTGCACTCAGTGATTCATTAGTGCATTAAGCAGCCATGCTTTAAGATCACGCCAAACGCATCCATAGTCGCTTTGCAATCCCTCGTAAAGGCTAGGTCTGAGACTTGTCTGACATTTGTAATCATTGCATCAATAATCTGTGGCACAGACTGGGGAACTGGTGTCAAAATAATTGGCCTTTAAAATCCATTATCAGTCGATCTCTTGTTGCTAGAACCAAGTTTTATATAAGTCTATTTACATTGCAACACTTTATAGTGGAAAATGAAATCTGTTGTGTAATTGTAGTGTGCTAGCATGTCTAATTTCATGAATGTTTAAATATGTGTCTGTAAGTCTGTGTGGATGGAGTTAATAGTCCCCAAGGAGTTTGCTAATCAGATTCTCTCCCTAACAGCAAGATGACTCATTACTAGTTTTTTCTTCTCAGGCTCCTTCGAGTAATGTTTCACACTCCATCAGTCCAAATACCTTAGGAAAGGTCATTATTGTGACTTAGTGTAACCCTGAGTTTTGGGAACTATTCAAAAGCTTTCCAGTAACTTGTTTAGCTCTGTCTTTATGATTTATCTTTTGAAATAATGAGGTCGTTACGCAACAAGAAAGATTCTGTGTCTTTTAAAAATGTATAATTTTTACACTGTAAGGTGCACAGAGAAAGCCCAGGTCCTCCCCTTCCTCACCTGTAATTGCACCTGTAAATATGCTCCAACGCTTTCATTTTACTTACATGTTTTGAGATTTAAACAAAAATTACTGAGTTATGCTTTATAGACTTTTCAGTCAGTGCTTCATAGACTTTTCTTTTTTTAACATGTATGTAAACACCATAATTCTGCAGTATTTTAACTCAAGGTTATCATACAAAAATTGGTCAGTACTTTAGAGACTTTTGGTTTTTTTTCAACATATCAAGATGATGATGAATTTATCTCAACATGCAAATATAAGAGCTTTCCGATGCAAGCAGATATATACCGAAAATAGTTTTTCTGGCTGATATCTGACACGAATATCGCAACAGTCAATAAGTTCCTAAATATTTTTCAAAGTTCAGCTTTTACATTTAGCTAGGTGCTGCCTATTTTATAAACATAAAAAAATGTAAAACTTTACTATGTTTTTACATGCAAATCTGTGTGACGATGTAAGTATACCACGTTAAATTACAGTATACTCTGAGTTTCGTAAATGTTAGCTTTTCCATCGTGGGGTTTGAAATCCTTTAATACCAGACCAAGATTCTCCCTCCTACTGCTGGGCACTGCCAGCCAGCTGGTTGAGAGGAAGAACGATACCTTTTTTTTTTATTTATTAAAAAAAATGTTGTTTTAGATTTTTTTTAAACGCTTGAAGTCATAATGTGGAAACCAGAACAGTGGCAGCAATCACCACCTGTTCCAAAACTATAGCTGTTATAGCTAAATATCTAAGTAGTCAAGCTAACAGCCAGCTATTATTAACTTCCTATAATTATTATTGGCAAAAATCATTCACGCAGTATATAAGAACAACATTTACTTGAAAACATACATACTTAAAGAGTGTGTTTATTGCACATTTATGGCCCACACTTTAAAAAAAATCCAAACAACAAAAGATAAACCTAATAAACACTTTAAGTTTAATTATGGATTTGTTGCTTATGTCTTAAATAATGAATACATATCATAGTACTATTTTCAGATATGTCACTGGCTTTTTGAAGTGTAACACTGAACAGTGAAGCATTCTGTTATCCTTGGTACTTAAAGTTTAAAGGGCTGTTCTTGTGTCTAGTCTTAACCATGAATGCAAGGTAGGATGGAGCCATGTTTTTGTTTTGTTGCCCGTTATGCAGATGACAGTGATTCTTAGAGCAGGGGAACATTTTTCCAAACTGTGTCCTACTGTTAGATGACAGGAGAGCTACCTTGTGTGGTCTTCTGCTGCTACAGCCAATCTGCTTCAATGTACCACATGTATTACAGTACATTCAGAGCATGCCATAACTACAGTAGTAGGAGGTATGTTTCCTTTCTATTGTATTGAACCAGTCTGCATACAACTGCTGCTCAAACGTTGAAACCTATAAAAAATGGAGATTGTTTTGTGTGTGGAAAACCCCAGCAGATTCTTAATATTTATATCAACACAGTTCAGTTCAGTTAACTCAGTTAAACTTGTTTATATGGTGCTAACTCACATCATACGCTCTCTGTCTGAGCAAGTCACTTTGCAGGATTCACTCCTCCTTGATAAATATGTGGCAAAAGTAGACATTCACCTGCACTGTATCATTAGCTACAGCGATCCCTCACACCATGCGGCCACAGTGGAGATGACAAACTCCACTTTAACAAGAAGATACCTCCAGCAGAACTAGGCTCAGTGTTGTTGTCCTTCTTTCAGGGACGGGGGTTCAAGAAGACAGAAGCAGACGCACTAAAGGAATTTAAAAGCATGAATCCATAAATAGTTTTTAATGTTAGAAAATATAACTGTAGATGCTCTGTCTAGGAAACAGTTAAACATTGGGCACCCACTCCCTCCCATGTTGAAAGTCAACTAAATTAGTTTTCTACCTGATTCCTGTGGTTGGTTAAAATGTTAAAAAGTCTAAATTATCAAATGCATTGGGTTGGAGTCTTGTAATTAGGTCACTCACAGAGGCTGTGTCGTATGTTCGCCCTAACTCCCATATACAGGAGAGCACTAAATAGGTATTTTATGTCCAAATGTCTAGTGGATAAAAAGTCTAGTGGATAAAAAGTCTAGTGGATAAAAAGTAATGGACATCTGTCTGAATGGTCAGCTGACTGAGTGCACTGGAAAGTCCAGTAGATAGTCCCCACTCTATATAGTGATTGTGGCGTTAGGGTGGACTTTCGGACACAGCCAAGGTCTTATCAAGCACCTGAACAGGTGTACCTAATAAAGTGGCTAGTGTGTATCTCCTACACGGAGAAAGATATATTTTCTGTGCTGTTGAATGATAAGTAATTTGTCCTTGGCAGACAGGATGTTTTAGCTCGGCATGCCTCTCATTAACCTACCCACTCAAACCAAGACCTCAGTGTTAATGAGTGAGAGGGAGAGAGAGACAGAGGTGAGCGATAACACAATTTATTTCACTCAGAGTCTTTAACATTCATGTGGGATGCTTTAGCTGATTTTTCAATTCATTTACAGACAGACAGCTGTTTTTCAGTAAACAAATGAAATGCCTTGTTTATATTTGGATAGTGTTGATACCGGTATAACTTTTTATCTTTCTAACCCAAAGGAAGGGGGAAAACAAAGGCTTCACTATAAAGTGTTTTCTGTATATAAAAAAAATCAATAAGGATAAACTCCATTTGGATGTAAGGGAAACGTAGTCCTAAATAAGTGAAACCCGCCCAATTTACATAATCTGAGTTTGTGCAATTGCTAGATTGCGCCATGATTATGGAGTGATGCTGCTGTTACAGGAAAGATGGTGACACAGCAATGGGAGAGTCATTTTCTCCACCTGCTTGCTTTTTAACATTAAACAGTTCCAGCATATTTATTTTAAGGCTCCATAAATCTTTGATTTTAAAATCTCCCGTCATGACTTTAGGCGTGGAGATTTTATTTATTTATTTATTTATTAGGCTCGACATGGTGATGATTGTTAAACCCGCGCGTTGATGGAGCCAACAGAAGGAGAAAGTCCTCACCTCCCACAATGGCGAGCAGAGCCAGCATCAGCAGCAGCCTCCAGCCGTCCGACATGGTGCCCGCCTGGAGCCCGGAAAGGTGTTCACCCGGATGGAGAGGCCACCTACTCCACGCACGCCCCGCAGTGTTGCTCCCCCACCTCCCTTTCACACTCTACCTGGCATAATGACGTCTGCCTGGGCTATGTTCTCCTCTTCTTCCTCGCCCTGATGAGGAGGGAATACTAACGCAGAAATGAATCCTCGGTGCGGTGCAGCCAGGTGAGCTGTGCGCGGAGCTTGGAGAGGAGGATGCTGCTGCCGACCGACGCGATCACCGCTTAGATCCGACGCGCTGGACAGGCGTGGGCGGGGCGCCTGGAGGAGCAGGGAGGGGAGGATGCACCTCCAGAGGCTCCAGATCAGCGAACCATGCCAAGCAGCGTCTTTCCTCTCTCATCTTCTTAAAATATTAGGCACGAACAGAATGTCTATTATTGACCTTCCAGTGACCTTGTCAGAGTAGGTGGCATCTTCCCTGTCTGACTCTTTGCCTCATATTCATATCAGCCAGGGGCCAAATACGTTATCTTTTCAATTTGTCGTTATTTTATTCTTTAATATTCTTTAATATTTGGCAACACTAAAAATTGCATTATAAAGCATAGAAAACATGTTTTCTTCTGTATAAAATTACATGAATCCAAATGTTTCTATGAGATATTTGAATTTTATTTGCGTTTAGATTTAAGCAACTACTAATTGAATATTAATATAAAGAGCCTCCTTCAAAAAAAGAGCATTTCAGTGAGATCAGGAGCACTGCAAAAGGATTCATAGCCCATATTCCACCATCAGTCGCTATTTTAAGGAGCCAGTCTTTGGTTCTGCTACAATACAAGTACTTAGAAAAATGTTTCTATAATTGAAAGTATGTTTCTAACCAACTGTGTTTCTAAACAGGAGCCAACAGGGGCCAGTTATCCTGTAGAACTGGTCTTGGCCCCTGTTATGGCCGCTGAACTGAAAACATTCAACTGAATTAATTTCTTATAATGATATGTGCTGAGAGAAGATACAGTAAATTTTTCCCTCAGCCCAATACACTTTTTTTTACCTATTCTTTTTGACAATTATTTAGAAATAAAAGTGTGTCACTTTAAGCTCCAGTCATAGTTGGTGCTCACTTGATAAACTGAGCAATGCATTATTTCCCTGTTTTTTTGTGTTTAATTCTTTTGTTATGTGTCCTCATAAAAAAAAAAAAAATAAATAAAAAAAATAAATAAAAAACCCTAGCCCCCTCTGGTGAACTTGGTCTAGGACCACCACTATCTCTACCCGCCCTTCACATCTAGAAACCAAAATAAATCTCTTTTTTTGCCAAACCAAAAAGAGCTCCATTCTCCGTTGTCCCTCCATATGGAGTTCTATTTTTTTTTAGCTCTTATTTTCTTTTGCTCAGCAATATAGGCGTTTTTAAGCAGGGGCTAACAGGGGCCAGCGCCCTTGGAGAACTGATCCTGGCCCCTGTAATTAAAACATACGTACACTGCAAAAGATTTCTTGAAAAAGACTGTATTTTGCCTCAATTTGAGCTGATAGATAAGACAATTTACTGACGTAATAAGATGGTCTCAATTTAACATAACAAAAAATTCATCTTCTTATTTCAAGTAGTTTATATGTAATAATTTTTAAGGGAAAAATAACGTTTTCTTTTGTAATAATCTTAGTTACCTGCTCCTTTAAGGGAAGTTTTTACATTTTAGATTACTTTTGCTATGTCATACAAAATAAGTCATATTATTACAGACATTGAAAGAATGGACTCAATCCAATCTTAGCTCTTGTTTTGAGATTTATATGCTTTTTGTTATGAGTATATCTATCTTGATTTCAAGAAGTCTAACAAAGTGCATTTGCCTCACTGCATTGGCAAATTATTGTATGAATCCTCACAAAATCAATCTTCTCTTGTTTAGTTTTTAGTCTCCATATGAAAGCCTGATTAGATGGACAATTTTTGCAGCATATAAATGATGATAATTGACTTGGACCTATTTAATCATTCACTTTTACAATTCGCATTCAAAATGCAGTCACCTTAAAACTTCAGCCATATTAAGATGCATCCAGGTTTTCATCATCATTATTTTTGTGTGTGTATATATATATATATATATATATATATATATATATATACATATATATATATATATATATATATATATATATACATATATGTTGAAAAAAATGATTTTTTTTCCACTTCACAGTCATAAATAACAGTGTGTTGGCTTATCACAATAAATCCTGATTTAGCTGTAATAGGGGAGTGTCGGCCTAGTTGGTGGCAGCAGTGTGGTAGTGCGCTTAGAAGGTTGCAATTACCCCATTCGATCCCCACAGCCTCCACTCTGAGCAAGACCCTCAACCCCCGATTGCTCCTCGGGCGCTGCACAGTGGCAACCCACTGCTCCCCAAGGAGATGGGTTAAAAGTAGAGGTAAATTTCTCCAGTGTGAGATCAATAAAGTTCTATCATTATTATGACAAAAATAATGGGAATTCTGAAGAATATGACAAACCGCGTTTCCCTGTGAGTTTTGTCAAAACGCCTCTGAAATTATCACTATGGTCTTTTCTTAGAGTTGAGTGTTAAGAAGTGATCCAAAAGGATGAAGAAAAGGGAAATTAGAGGCTGGGAGAAGAGATACGGGTGTAAATACTGGAACTGAGACAGGATAATTATAAAGGAATGAGATCAACAAAGAAAATGTCATCAAATTAAGAAGATTACAGGACATAAGAAAATCCAAAAGAGGAAGTTTACGGAAGGGCATAAGGGATGCATAGACAACATAAAAAGGGAGTGGAGGGGGATCCAGCGAGGAGGCAGTTGCTGTGGTGACTAAGAAAAGGTCTACAAAGAAGCAGCCTGTTTCTTCTTCATTTTATCTATTTTTACATACACACACACAGAGCATACACATGTACAATTAGGACATGCTACGCACTAGTGAATAATGTCAATTTTACAAGACATACACACATATCTGCACAGAGGCTAAATCTTCCACAAATTCCTCTATGCCATCTTTAAACTGTCTCTACAATCTCCTCCTTTCTTCGTCTCCACACCCCCTCTGCAGTGAATGAGCTGACCTGACAGTGCTCCTCCCCTGCACTGAGTGCAGCTAGTCTCCCCTTGAATTATTAAGAAGCTGGGACCCCCACAAGTGCTTGTCTTTCCCTAACACCCACTCACACTCCTTCTTTCTCTGCTTTTTTTCTCTGTCCCTTCCTGCCCCGCTGTCATTATGTCTTCGGGTTGCCGGGTTTACTTCCTATGTCTCTGTCACATCTAGGAAACACAACATACAAATCTGATCCTAGATCACAGCTCTAATGAATGGAGTAGGATAAATAAAGTAACGAATAGCTAAACAGAGTATTGAGGATTGAAGATTTTCTTTCCCTTTTTTGCTATTAATTTTAATCTTGAAAAATAACAAAAAGATTAGCAGTAAGGTGAATTTCACTAAGTTACTTCCATTGGAAACATTGAGAACCTTAATAGTGCTAAATAAATTGATAGCAGAGCTCTGAATGTATGTCCTAACTGTTCAAATAGACAACATTGCTCACTGCCCAGGGCGACACCAACATGAGACTGGCATTGCTTTCTTTAGGTGCAGTCATTGAGTGAATAGTTGCCAACCATGATTCTGAACATCATAAGGACTTACTAAATCTAGCATTATTTGAATTCTGTTAAAAGGTCAGCCTTTAATTGTTCTAAATTGAAGAGCTTAATTAAAAAGAATATTGAGCTCTATAGTATCTTTACCCTTTCTATGTGAATATCCAAGTATGATTAATATTTAAATCTAAACTAGCTTTATAAAGCATAAGAATATTTTCAAATACACAAATTATTTTTATTTAATGCCATGTTACATTTAGAAATGCTAAGATTTTCTAAATTAAACAATGTAGAAATCCTTAGCATTATTTTTGTCATTTAAATTTCATATTAAAGAGGTTTCTAGAATTTCTTTCATCTCTGGAATATTGCCAAAAATAGAAATATCCTGTCCAATGGTGATGTCCATGCATTTGTTACTTCAAGACTGGACTATTGTATTGCAAATCTCTACTATCAGGAAGTCCACAAACTGTAATTAAAAGCCTTCAGCTGATTCCAAAATGCTGCAGCCAATGAAAGTTAAAAAGATAGATCTCCTTTCTTAGCTTATTTTCATTTGCTTCCAGTTAAATCCAAAATAGAACGGAAATTCTGTTTAACATATAAAGCCCTAAATAACTAAAATCCATTTTATTATTATATTATAGATCTGCAGGTTAACTAGTGGTTCCTAGAATTTCTAAATGTAGAATGGGAGGAAGATCTTTTAGGTATCAGGCTCCTCTCCTGTGGAACCAACTACAAGTTTTAGTCTGTGAGGCAGACACCCTGTCTACTTTTAAGGCAAGGCTAAAAACTTTCCTTTTTGATAAAGCTCATAGTTAGAGTGGCTCATGTTGTCCTCAACGATCTCTATAATTATGCTGATATAGGGTTAGGCTGCTTGAGGACATACTGACCACTTTTCATCATTCTGCTACCTTCTATCTCTATTCTCCAATTATGCTGTATATGTTGGTTAAACCCTACCTTTGTGTTCTATTTTTCTTTTTTTCTCATCATAGTAGCATCATCTGGTCTGTTCATTTTGGGCTCTCTCCATCCTGGAGAGAAATGTCCACTGGGCTTTTGCCATCAACAGCTTCTATTATAGATGACAGGGTTGGGCCTGTTTTCTTTCTTGCCTGTACATTTCTATGAACTCAGCTTTTACTGTGACTAACTGTATGTGTTCCCTTTCATTCCTTTGACATGAAAACTGACTTAAAGCCTGTCTGCTTAAGTGTTTCTTTCCTAGACAGAGTTGGCTATGGAGCTAATTTTTTCCCTTACCTTTTCTAACATAGAAGGTATTTATAGAACAGTGCTTATATTTTCTTCTTCTATCTCTGCCTCTCTCTTCTTGAACCCCAGTCAGCCTCGGCAGAAGGCCGCTCACACTGAGCCTGATTCTGCTGGAGGTTTCAAACTTTTTAGAAGGGACTTATTCCACTTCACTGTCCACTATTAATGTGCATGATGCATACAGAAAAAAAGGTAAGATATTTCTCCTCTTGCACTGTTGAGTCTATAAAATTCAAGGTATGACAGGCCTAATCTAATTTGAGCACAAAATAAAATCCTTATGTAACATTAACAACATATTACCTGTCTGTGTATGTGCAGGTGAGTTTCATAAACTATCTATCACAAACAGGGGATCAGTTCATACCCACATTGGGTTTTTGTAT